CTTATTTATTGCTGTAATCTACAAATGAAATTTGCTCCAAACTCTATGCTCTTGTTAAATGTTAATGCTACATTTTTAGTTTAATACTTTGTTTCCTCACAAGATGATATATATAAAAAAAAATCCACCACAAAACAGTTATTGGACATTACCGTAGACTTCAGCTGCAACGTGGAGCGCAACACACCTGAAAATGAAGACCTGGAAATATTTTTGTGTTCATTTACAAGGAAATTAACACGTCAGTTACTTAGGAGCTGTCCTAAACAAAGATGCTGCTCCCACATTGCTGTCAATTGAGTGATGACCCAAACAGGTCACAAAATGCTCTTCAAAATCCCCCAAGGGTCACGGAGCAGCCTGCTCTGATGGCTGCACTTAAGAAGGAAACACTTAATTATCAATGGGAACTGTAACTAGTTGCTACAATCTTCCTTCATAAAGGCCAATACTTTCACTTTTGATATATTTTCACTCTTCTCTATGACCTTTATGAACTTCTGGTGAGTATGATAATATTTGATCGACTTTAAAAATAAAACTCATCTTACAGTTTTTGCTGACCGCATGCGAGATCGTGATGTGTTTACGTATGAATTCTCTCAAAAGGACGTATTTAAGAACTAAGAACCCAATCCTGTTAGAAGTCAGTAACCTCAGGTCCCACGGACTTTGATCCAGATTGAGGGTGCTTAATACCTCCTAGCTATGTCCTTATCAGCGTGTCTTTTACGTTATATAAATGTGGACGGACACTGCATTTCTGTCGTGATTACCAGCGAATAGCGGGTTATGATGCACTGGCTAAAATGTCAGATATGATGGTTCTTCTACTGCAATTTTGTTGTTAATATATTAAGGAATGACTGCAGCTTTTATGGTATTTTATTTTGTTTCTCTTCTTTCTCATACATCTTGGTGTTAAGATGGCAGAATAACCATGGGAGACTGGAATTTCCTTGGAGGCATTTTAGAGGAGGTCCACATTCATTCTACTATTATTGGAAAGATTTGGCTAACTATCCTCTTCATATTTCGAATGCTTGTCCTTGGGGTGGCAACTGAGGATGTTTGGAATGATGAACAATCAGAATTTATATGCAATACTGACCAACCTGGTTGCAGAAATGTGTGCTATGACGAGGCCTTTCCTATCTCTCTAATAAGGTACTGGGTCCTGCAAGTTATATTTGTGTCTTCCCCATCCTTGGTGTATATGGGTCATGCCTTATACAGACTAAGAGCCTTAGAAAAGGAGAGGCAAAAAAAGAAAGCTCAGATCAGAGTGGAACTTGAAAGTACTGAATTAGAAATGACTGAAAATCGAAAAAGGCTGGAGAGAGAACTCCGGCAGCTGGATCAAAGAAAACTAAACAAAGCACCCCTGAGAGGATCTTTGCTCTGCACTTATGTGATACATATTTTTACTAGATCTGCAGTGGAAGTTGGTTTTATGATTGGGCAATATCTTCTGTATGGTTTTCAACTAGATCCCCTTTATAAATGTCAGAGGGATCCATGTCCAAACATAGTTGACTGCTTTGTATCAAGACCGACAGAAAAGACTGTGTTCATATTATTTATGCAATCAATAGCAACTGTATCATTGCTCTTAAACATCTTAGAAATTATTCACCTAGGATTCAGAAAAATTAAAATGGGACTCTGTGGACTGGATAAAACCAAGGATGACCTTGATGATTTCTACATAAATAAATCTAAGAAATATTCTGCAATACCGCAGTCTTCTTTGGGAATATCTGCAACTCCGCAAAAAACTCTTCCTTCAGCACTGAGTGGTTATACCTTTTTAATGGAAAAGCAAACTGATGCCAGTGTCTATCCAGTTCTAAGTACTCCTCCTGTCTTCCAGTCTATTCAGAATAACCGTGCAGAAAGCAGCAACAATTGCACCCATCACAGTCATGAAAATAAACTGCCAGAGCAGAGGCCACATACAAATGCTTTAGACTATCAGATTCGAAATAGTAGCACAAATAATAACGAAGGCTTAATTAGGGAGCTGGTTACTGAAGAAAACGAGTCTCAAAAAGATGCTGAAAAGAAACATTTCCTTGTTTGTCCTCAGAACACAGATGCAGCTTCAAGCACGTGCTTGAGAAGCTTTCCTGAAATGCCATCTCAGAGCTCACTGCAGCCTGATACTTTTCCTATTAACTGTTTAAGAAGACAACGAGGAGCCGGCGGCTCATGGAACTGCTCCGCGGTGGCTGAGAGCGCCGGGTCCGCGACAAATCCTCTCCAGAAGAGCAGCAACAGGAGAGCAAGCAGCTTCAGGGCAAGGAAAGGCCACGCTGCGGCCAAAGCGGACCCGAAAAACCCCAGCCGACCAGGCACCCCGGACTCCGGCGGGGAGGTGAGCTCGGAATCCAAGCAAAGCCGAAACTGCGACAGCCCCCAGCCTTTCCCTCCGCCCAGGCGGGTATCGCTGTCGAGCAACGCGAGCAGCAGGCGAGCTCCCACCGACCTGCAAATTTAGTGGGAAAGCTGCTAGCGACGGCTGTGACACTTACTGCACACTGCAAAACAAGTAATAGCTACGTCTAAGAGTGATCAAATTAATCAACTTTAACCAGGTCTTCCACATAGATACACCTTTGCTTATTAGTGAAATAATATTTAAACAGCATAGTTGTTTTGTTGTTCTTTTTAATAAAAATGATGACTGAAACCACTGTGTATAAGCTTTTCCTTTATCCTTGCAACTAAAGAGGAAATGTAAAGCAAATAAAGCCACATAATAGGGAAAAGTAATAAAGTTCAGGTTAAAACTTTAGGCTCCACAGAACACAAGGATTAAAATTACAGTTGACAGTATTTAAACAGAATAAAATTAGAGAACAACAACAGTCTAAAGGTATATATCCCAGCTGATACTGCTATAGCAGCTTTAATCTTTGAATTTTCTGGTGTGACATTACGGTGGACATGTAAATGTGTGCTAATGTGTATTTGCATTTAATGTGCCTGTATTAAAACGTGTATTTTTTACTGCAATTCCACTGTCTAATAATAGAAACATTAGATTCAGATGCTCACAAATAGAATTTGTAATTGCAAAATCTGATGGTTAAAGGCAAGATACAAAATAATCTGTTTTCTTCCTGCTGTTAATAGGGTTGTTTGCTTTGCCTTTTTTTGGGCGGTGACGTGTCAAAAATAAACCACAACAAAAAAGGGTTAATCGCAGTAACTTTCCAATAGGGAAATTTAACCTTATTCCACAGCAAACTTAGAACACTGCAGAGAAAAAATAATTTAAAAAAGGTGCAAAAAGACTCTGGAACTGCAGGTGCAAGACTATATATATATATATATGTAATGATGACAATAAGGAGTGTGTTGTTTATCACTTGGTGTCGCCGCGTCTCGCCCAAAGGACACGGAATTTGCGCGTATTGGACCAGGCTCGGGCTCGGGCCCCGCGTGGGGCGGCCGGGCCGTGCTGGGCCGTGCTGGGCCGGGCCCGGCCTCACGCGGAGCCGCGGGCGGGGCCTGGCTGCAGGCCCCGCCGCCATGGGGACCGCCCGGAAGCGCT